TTTGCCTTCGAAGACACTGCAGCGTTGGGTGGCAACTGGTCGGTTCGCAGGGTAAGATAACACCAAGTTATTAAGCAAATTAAATAAACAGGGAAAAGATTTGAATGTGTAATTCCATCTTTATTAGTGAAAGGTATTCAAAGCCAGTCTCATCTCTAGAATGCGCAAAAGATAATGTGCACGTAAATGCTACAGGAGAATGCTTTGGAAATGGGGACGTGTGTTTTCCGCCTTCTGTGTGGCTGACCCGACGCTATTTCAAATCCCATAAAAGCAATATGTGGTTTTCGACAAATATATCCTTGTGTTCTGCAGTTTGATTTATGTAAACTCATTTCAGATGCAAGTGCAGAATCCTTCCTGAGCAGATGAGAAAAATGTCGGCCTGAAGTGAAGAAAATATATGTGTGTGGAGAGAGATAGTTTTAAGAAAGGAGTTTTATATGATAAAGATTTGTAACTCTATTTCACACACACAAAAATCCTTTTAAAAAAAACTTCTAGAGTTGATTTTTTTTTTTTTTACATTAATGTGTCAATTCAGGCTTTTACCTAAAATGAGAACGAGTCTGTTTTGTCACAGGAAACTTTCCACCTTGCGAGTTAGCAGAGACGGGTCGGTACCTCGGGGAACAACGGCAGCATAACATGGGTGCCGGCGTTGGTCATGTGCTTCCAGCTGCAGCCAGCAGTCACGGGGCCCCCTAACTCACCAACACGGCCAGCAAGGCCGAAACACACCGGCCACGGTCCCCACCGGCCACCATCTTCCCCTCGGGTCCGTTTGGCCGTGAACTCTTAACAGCGCCCTGCCCACAGTGTTTCTCCCAGTCTGTGAGCCGTTTGTGTGTCCTCCACAGGTCACCGACCTCAACTCTTCCTTCTTCCAAACACTGCGTGCACACGCACGCACGCACGCACGCACGCACGCACGCCCTGCATTTTTGTGGTATGTAACAGGAATTCCCCTTGCCTCTTTAACCATGGTCACAGATTTTCCAGGACGATCGTTTTTGTTAGCGTTCTCTTTACGTAAATATTGAGTAGGTCTGTCCTGACCCCGTCTTCTCTATAACCCTGTAACTTTTATTATGTGATTGGCAGATCATCCCAGGAATGTATTGGTCCCATAATAGCACAAGCGTCTATACTTGCACTGTACTTATTAACGGCACCCGCAGAATAACCCCGATGTAGCGACGCCCTCACGAATCCTAGGTACACAGAAGGAGGCACCCATTGCCTCCTGATTCGCTTGCTTAATTTCCCCTTCGCAAAGTAAAACCAGCCCCGTGTGTGCATCGCCCGCTAACAAGCAACCCTCCCATCTTTATCTCCTTTAAGTGCTTCCACAGTGAAAGTACTTAATAAAGATTTAACTTGCTTCCGCTGCAGCTCGTTGTGTTTGCTTTTTAATTATTACCCTGTGGTCTGGGTCCTTGTAAGAAATCGACCCTTGTCTCCCTACCCATAGACAGGCGCGTGCT